AAAACGTTCGCACTTGCTGCATTTCTATCTATCTATTTATTATTATTTTTGTTATTTGATTGATAAATACAGTATGGATAACAATGTGAAATCATGTAAAAGCTTTTCGCATAAATTCCTTAACGAGAGCAGCTGACAGCAGCTCGCAGCGGAAGCGTCAGCACCTCGTCAGCTGACACTGATCAATGGCCACAAAACACAAACACAATAGCGCGTGAGGGGGAATAATATGAAACACAGCCGCAGTGACGCAAAAACGCCCATTCTGTGACGTTGCGAGTCCCAACTAACTCCTCTTCAGGCAAGAACACCAGAAGTGTTGCATTGATCAATGGTTCCTCTTGAGTGCGTGTTGCGGCTGTGATGGTCCAGCATGGACTTCTCGGGAGGGGGCGGACAGCACCTCGGTGGACAGCACCTCGGACAACACCTGGGCCAACACCTCGATTATGGGCATGGCCTCAGCCAACAGCTCGGGCAGCTCAGCCTCGATCATTCCTCGCGGCCTCCGTTGTGCCCTTCTGCGGGAGCAAGGACGTCCTTCGGGGCCGAGGTCCTCCCCCGTGACACAGGGTGCGCCTCCGACGTCTCCTTTGGCAGGAGCTTTTCACCCGCGGCCTTCCAGTCTGCAACGTCTCAGTTGCATGAGACTCACAGCCAGTTGCAGCAGCCCTATTTGCAGCAAAGAGAGCAGGTGAGTTACAGCTCTTCTCCTCTGAGCTCGACCAACCCCAGTCTCCTAGGTGGGAGTCCAGTGGCAGCCCAGCACCAGTTGTCCCCTAGTAATCTGGGCACATTGGGGCTGCAGTCTCCCCGTCTTACTCCCATCCAGTCCCAGACGTCCTCCCCCATCAGGTCCTCACTGGGCACTGCACAGCTCAGTTCTTCCTCTATGACAGCAGGCCTTCAGAAGGATACCTTGGCACCAGACACACATGGGTTTGGCCACATGGGGGGCTCTCACTCACCGGTTCACTCACAGTTGGGGCGAGCGCAACTGGCATCCAGTCTGCCCACATCCTTACAGCCACGACCCTTCCAGCCACAGCATACACCCCAGAACCGCTTGAGTGGAGCCCAGTTAGGGTCAAGCTGGGGAAGTGTTGACAGCCAGAGTGCAAGTTTTCAGGTTCCCCTCCAGCCTGGCTCAAATGATAATAGTCAAGGCAGTGCACTCGGGTATTCCAGTTTAGGTACATATAACACCCAGGTTGTGAATGGCCAGATGGCAACGGGAATGCACCTACAACAGGACATGCAGTATCAGAACCAGCTGCAGTTTGACAGTATGGGTTTCATGTCAATGCAATCACAGCAAATGCAGTATGGTAATTTCTCACAGATGCAACAGACTTTTCCTCAAGAAACAAATGGCTTCCAATATAATGTTGACTATATTGACAGTACGGATCCAAATGCCTATCAGGATTATTACTATGACTATCAGTATAATAGTTATAATGGGTCAATGGACAGTCTGGATCCAAATTACTTAGGGACACCAGTGGGTCGAGCTCCAACCCCATATGGTGATGAAACTGTAGATGACCTTGGACCCGAGGAAGTGCGATGGTTCTACAAGATTGAAGCAGATAAGAAGTGGACACCTTTTATTGGTTATGATTCTCTTCGCATTGAGTGGAAGTACAGGGACCTTATGCAAGACACAAATCCTGGGGGGTCAAATGGCTCTCCTTATGGAAATACTGAGAATGAGCAGCAATCACCAAGGGAAACGCAGGAGAAATCACAAGTTATTGAGAGGATAGTTGTTCGAGGAGGCTTGTATGAGGTGGACGTGAAACATAGGAGATGTGAAAGTATTTATTGGAAAGGTATGTATCATACTATCAGTGAAAGATTCTTCCTTTTTTTCTGTTGGTTATATACTTGTATGCAAAGGTTTAAAAGAAGTGGTCATATAATAAAAGTATCACTGGAAAAACATGATAATTGTTATAAAATATTAAATTTCAAAATTCATATTGTTTTACAGGAATCCAAAGTTTTATGACCTTCCTCCTTTCAAAATCAAACTTTGTTTTTACTTTCATAGGTGAAGTATTCATGATCTGTCGTGGCACGTGGTTTTATGAGGGTGCATGGGGCCCTGTTGAAGAAATGCTTGCAGACCGATTAGAAATGGAACATTTAACACACTTCAGAGGGCATCTATTGACATCTCAACGTGTAGATGATACAACGAAAGAAAGTAAGTTAAGTGTTATTTTTAGATATGAACTTTACATTTAATTGGAAACTATTCTAAGTTTCTTGAGAAACCTTTTCATATAAGCGTTATTGATATCGCAATACAGCTGGTAATAATTTCAAAGAGAAAACATAATTCAGCTCATTTATTAACTGGCAGCTGGTAGCATTTGATGTGTTTTGTCACTAGTTTGCACTATAAAAATTTTGTAAGATACTTATATATTCCACTAATACAATTTTCATCAGAAAGGCATGTTAAATCTACTTTAAATTATTAGAAATATGG